GTCTGGGTGAACTTGGCTTTGAATGGCCCTGTATGACGAGGGAGATGGGAAAGCTTAAGATGGGCGAGGTGGATCCAATGGGAGATTCCCTGTAACTTCACTGCTATAGGAGTAGTGAGAGTAACCCGGTAATGTCTGGTCCATTTAGCCTGTATTTTAGTGGGAGTAGAGGGCAAGGAGGAGTGTGAAGAGGACAGGAAGTCCTTATCTCCCACTGTGATGGGAGGGGAGCTATGTGAGGTAGTTGGACCTTGAGCTGGGCAGTAGGTGTCTGTATATTTCCATGACTCTGTTCCTAGATGTCTGAGAGGAATGAGTAGATGGGATGGCAGGAGTGGATATTGAGAGTTTATAGTTGGAGGAATAAAGGGATGTCTATACATCAGTTCAAAAGGTGCAATATTGAGAGGTTTTTAGGAAAGACCCTCATATGGAGTAGAGCCATTGGGAGTAGTTAGTCCAGTCCAAGTGGAGCTCAAGGGAGAGTTTAGTCAGAGCATTTTTTAGCATACAATTTGCCCATTCTACTTTTCCTGAGGATTGAGGGTGGTAAGGAATATGGAAATGCCAGGGAATCTTAAGCACCTTGGTAAGTAGCTGAGTTACTTGGGATGTGGGACTGGAGAGAGCCAGGGACCCCAAAACAGGGGATAATTTCCTGAAGGATGTTGAAAACTGTTAGCTCCCATTTGTTAATAGTTGGGAAGGTATCTATAAATAGCAAGAGATATTGAAAAGGTTGCACTCTGGGCATATGGGTGAAGTCAACCTGCCAGTCAGAGGTTGGCAGGTGTCCTCTGGCTTGATGGGAGGCAAGAGTGGAGGATGGAGGTTAGTGTTAGGGTCTGTTCTTTGACATACAGAACAAGAAAGGTGAGTTGTTGAAGATATTTGGTATCTTCTGGTGAGAGGGGAAGAGATTGTTTGACAATCTACTAATCTACGATAGTAGAGAAGAGACATTGGGATGAAACAAATGGTGGAGATAGAATAAGATAGACTGAGTGGAGGGCTGTTGAGACAGTTGGTCTTGAGGGTGCTTTGCTAGTATAGCGGGTGGAGTAGAGGACAATGCCACCTGATGAGCTGTCTGATCTGCCCTGTTATTACTGGCAGTGATGGCAGAATTATCAATATGATGAGCCTTTCAGTGAACAAGTCTGATTTGTGTTGGAAGACGGGCTGCCTCTAGGAGAGCAGTTATGAAAGTAGCGTTGGAGATGGATGTCCCTTTAGTATTAAGAAGACCCCTTTCTTGGCTGGTGCCACGGCTCAATAGACTAATCCTCCACCTAGCGGCGCCGGCACACCGGGTTCTACTCCCGGTCAGGGCGCCGGATTCTGTCCCGGTTGCCCCTCTTCCAGGCCAGCTCTCTGCTGTGGCCCAGGAGTACAGTGGAGGATGGCCCAAGTCCTTGGGCCCTGCACCCCATGGGAGGCCAGGAGGAAGCACCTGGCTCCTGCCTTTGGATCAGTGTGGTGCGCTGGCCTCAGCACGCTGGCCATGGTGGCCATTGGAGGGTGAACCAACGGCTAAGGAAGACCTTTCTCTGTCTCTCTCTCTCAAATCACTGAGTTGGATAGGGAATGTGGAAGGCATATTTTGAGTTAGAAGAAACAGTCATAGATTTGTTTTTTGCCAGCATAAAAGGCACATGTTAGAGCATAGAGCTCAGCTGGTTGATTAGTAGTATTGGAAGGGAGTGGTCCTGTCTCAACAACATTGGTGGTTGATACTACAGCATATCCTGCCCTTTTGATTCTCTCATGAAAGACAGAGCTACCATCTGTGAATCAGACTAGAGTGGGGTTAATAAGGAGACCTTCCTGGATATTTGAAGGATGAGGTAGTAAGTGTTCGATAGTCTCAATGCAGGAGTAGACAGGAGCTGAGTGATCCGGAGATGGGGGTGGGGGCATAGCTGGTTAAGGGAGGACAAGGTTTAAAAGTGAGAGATGGGTCCTCAATTAGTGCCACCTGAAGAGCCAGAATGTGAGATGGTGGGAGAGACTGGAGGCCCTTGTAAGTTAGGAGTTCTGATAGTTGGTGTGAGGAAAGAATGGTGAGCAGTGAGCCAAAGGTGAGTTTCTTTGCCTCTTGTGAGGACTGTTGCTAAGGCTAGCACCTGCAAAGAGGGTGCCCAGCCCTTGACTATGGGAGTCTAAAGCTGTTCTGGAGCAATTGACTCAGGGACTGGGCTTAGGAGAAGGGAGGGGAGGGACTGGGTAGGGATGGAATATCCGTTTGGTGTAGCTGGAGAGGATGGAGGTCAAGATGTAGATTGGGTTTGTGGCAAGGAAAAGGGTTTGGAGGGAGTAGACATGGGCAGGGAATGGCTTTGAGAAAAGGATGAACAGGGGATTTGAGATAAGGGAGGGGGAGGTGCAGTGAGAGCTGCAGTAGAAGCCAATGCCACTTCCCGGAATCCCTGGGTAGGAGAGGGAAGTGCTGACGAGATATCACGGCTGGAGCAGTTGGTGGGCTCTGCGGTTGTCAAGTGGGAGATAATGGCACTGGGGCCTGAGCCACTGGGGCCCCAGGAAGTGGTTGAGCTGGTGCCTGTGGTTTGGATTGATGGAGGGGTTCATCAGCTGGCTGGATTGAAGGAGGCCATGGAGGCAGTGATGGTGGCTTTGGTGGCAGGATCGAAGGTAGAAGAAAGGGTTTTGGCTTTTTAGCGAGAGCTTTGGAAGTTAAAAGAGTTTGAGCCAGAGAGCTAGAGCAGTTAGAAGGCTTAGACATAGGAAATCTTCCACTTTTCCCAACAGTCACAGGAGTGGTAGAGAGCCCGATAATGTTGGGGTTAAACGTGTCATTAAGCAGCCATTTGGAATGAATTGCTGAGGTAGGAGACAATCAAGAGGAGGATCAGAGGGAATGTGGGAAGAAGGAGCTCCCACGGTGACCCGTAGAGTTGGATTGGTGGATATCAGGCATCCCTGAGATCATGGCTGTCTCGACAGGAGGATATGGGAACAGATGGCAGAGGTCGTCACCTACACACCTACTGGAGCCCAGGGCTTAGCCTATAGAAGGGAAACAGGGGTTGAGTTGTCACCCACAACCACTGTTGCCTGGACACAGAGTCTGTAGAGGCATGAGGCTGTAGGAGTTGTGGTGCCTGGTACCAGGACTTCGGGATGGAGTAGAGTGGTAGTAGAGGTTGCCGTGAGAGAATTCCTATTCCACGAATTACCTCAAGATTTTAAAGGCTGATGTGTGTATGGAGATCACAGAGTGTTCAGTGGTGTAGAAGGAGTTCTGGGAATGTGTTTTGTGACTGGCAGAAATCCAGGACCCCAAAGCAGCTCAGATCCCTGAAGGGAGGGCAGGGTTGATGAGAGAGCTTGGATCTGAGTCACAGCACCCATGTAAGGCCACCACAAAACACACCAAACACCAGAGTTAAGAGAAAGGTTTATAGTTGGGTGGTGGAAGCCCAATGGGCTGGGGGAGGGTGGGAAGAGGGCAGGAAAGTAAGAGAGAGAGGCATCAGGAGAGAGAGAAAGAGAGAGAGCGTGCACATGTGCTGGAACCAGGTCCTATTATAAAGGGAAGTAGGAGCAATGAATCCTATTAAGGTGGAGTAGAGCTGACAACTGTGGTTGGGCCATGGGGCTTAGGACCAAAGCTTACTGTGCAAAATAGCCATGGGAGCCAGAGCCTAAGATGGTGTCTGTAGCATAGATGGCGCCACAGAAAAGATGGTACCATTTTACTAACAAAATGTATTTAAGATTTTCTAGAAGTGTAGTAAACAGTTTAGGTGCATTTCAAGCTAGTGGAATCTTTCGATCAGTAATTTTTGCTTCTATGGTTGTCTATTACTGAGGAAAGTAGAAATAGCTTTCAATCCAATTCTTTGTGTTTATAAAAATTTCAAACATTAAACACTTCATTTTTCTAAAAAGTGAAATCATTTCTTATGACAAAATATTATTTTCTTAATGAAAATTGCTTTTAGAACTCTTTTTAAAATATATCAGAAATTGGCTGGTGCCGCGGCTCAATAGGCTAATCCTCCACCTTGAGGCGCCGGCACACCGGGTTCTAGTCCCGGTCGGGGCGCCAGATTCTGTCCCAGTTGCCACTCTTCCAGGCCAGCTCTCTGCTGTGGCCAGGGAGTGCAGTGGAGGATGGCCCAAGTGCTTGGGCCCTGCACCCCATGGGAGACCAGGATAAGTACCTGGCTCCTGTCATCAGATCAGTGCGGTGCGCCAGCCACAGCGTGCCGGCCATGGCGGCCATTGGAGGATGAACCAACGGCAAAGGAAGACCTTTCTCTCTGTCTCTTTCACTGTCCACTCTGCCTGTCAAAAAATATATATCAAAAATTCAGAAATAAAGGGAATGCTATATTGTATTAAATAAGATAGAAAACTTCAGTATGTTAAAAAAAAAGCTCTTTTAAATAGTAGATAAAATTACAAGAGGAAAAACTTAGAAGTAATAATACATGAAAAAGAGTTACTTTCATAATATTCTAAAAGTACCTTCAATAATGAATAAAAAATAAGACAGAAGGAGCCAGCGCTGTGATGTATCTGGTAAAGCCTCCGCCTGCAGTGCCAGCATCCCAGATGGGTGCCAGTTCTAGTCCCAGCTGCTCTCTTCTGATCCAGCTCTCTGCTGTGGCCTGGGAAAGCAGTAGAAGATGGGCCAAGTCCTTCAGCTCCTGCACCCATGTGGGAGACCCGGAAGAAGCTCCTGATTCCTGGCTTCGGATCAGCTCAGCTTTGGCTGTTGCAGCCATCTGGAGAGTAAACCAGCAGATGGAAGACATCTCTCTCTCTTTGGCTCTACTTCTTTCTCTGTAACTCTTTCAAATAAATAAAAATAAATCTTAAAAAAATTAAGACAGAAAGCATAATGGAAGACAAATAAAAGGGGTCAAAGCAGCCTTCAAAAAGCTCATGTAAATGTGTGTTATGAAAAACCATGTACAGAATTCAAAGATTTTGTGCCACAATAAACATATTTGAAATCCAATTTCCACACAGACTTTTACTCTTGCATTTATTCACAACAAGGAAAATATCAATTAAAATACTTTCTTAGTATGCAATGTACCAATAAACATATATACTTCACATGTATTCAAAGAATCTATAACATATATTTCATTAGTATTCTCATAAACTCCAATACAATCAGCAAAATGAAAGAATTTTAGTGACAATGCACCAGTGAAACTCAGTTGTCCCACGTTAGCCTACATATGGTATCTATATGGAGGGACAACATGCTAAATCCAGCAGTATCTCACATGAATCTGCATGGAAGACTAGGAATATCTTGGAATTTTCTAAATGTTATATATGAGACAATGCTCTGTCTCTTCGATGAAACCTATTTAGTAATTTTAATATGGAAATAAATGATTGATTAACATTGTTCAAAATATAATTTTGAATCTACCCTGTTCATTGATAGCTATGCCTCAATCACTATGAAACTCAGATTATTATTAAATAGAATCTTCCCCTCTTTCCTAATACTAAACTCGGGCTCTTGTAGATCTTTCATAAGTTCTGCCTTGAGATCAGGTGGTGCTGTTGTGGTAAAGTTGCAGGTTTCTGTCAAAAAATCCAAAAGCAGGTCTCCATTTTCATTCCCATCAAGGAAGCAGTCAGATATATCCATGGTGGACAGAAGATCGTAACACTCGTACTTAATCCCTAGGCCATCCAGCATCTCAGTGAGGTCAGAGGACGTGATATACTGGCAAAGGTCATTTTGGGGTAAACGGGATCCATACTTTCTCCACAGCTTGTCCCAGCCACTGGTTCCTGAAGAGTAAAACAAAGTTCATGCTTTCATTGTCTTTCTGCCAGGCAGTAAATGCTAAGATAAAACCATGAACAAATAATATCCTTTCCTTTTTTGCGCCTCATTTAAGGCGTACAGTGGCAAGGGGCAGGGAGAACATCATATAAGTAACTATGTCGGACACTAGACAGTGATATGAGCTAAGTGCAAAAATTATCAGAGAAAGGGATAAGTGGGTCAAAGAAGGAGCCAGCCTTGTGGCTTAGGGGGTTAAGCCATCGTCTGAGATACCAGTATCCTTTATGGGCACCAGTTCAAGAGCTGGTTGCACCACTTCTTTTTTTTTTATAATTTTTTTATATTTTATTTTATTTAATGAACATAAATTTCCAAAGTACAGCTTATGGATTACAATAGCTCCCCCCCTATAACTTCCCTCCCACCCACAACACTCCCATCTCCCACTCCCTCTCCCCTTCCATTCACCCATTCACATCAAGATTAATTTTCAATTATCTTTATATACAGAAGGTCAATTTAGCATATACTAAGTAAAGATTTCAACAGTTTACACCTACACAGAAACACAAAGTGTAAAATACTATTTGAGTACTAGTTATAGCATTAATTAAACACCTAAGAGTAATTGTGTATTAATTACAGAGTTCAACCAATAGTTTAAAGTAGAACATAAAAAATACTAAAAGGGTAAAGTATTAAGTTCTTTTTTTTCTTTTTCTTTTTTTTGTTTGTTATATAGTTTTTTTTTTTAATTTAATAAATGTGAATTTACAAAATGGCTCCCCCCCAACCTCCCTCCCTCCCGTGGCCCTCCCCTCTCCCACTCCCTCTCCCATCCTGCCCTTCATTGAGTTTCATTTTCAATTACCTTCATATACTGAAGATCAACTTAGTATATACTAAGCAAGGATTTCAACAGGCTGCACTCACACAACCGCACAAGGTATAGGATATAGGGTATTATTCGACTAGTAGTGTTGTTTTTAAGTTTCATAGTAGAACACATTAAGGACAGAGATCCTATGTGGGGAGCAAGTACCCAGTGACTCCCGTTGTTGATTTAACAATTGGCACTCTTATTTATGACGTCAGCAATCACCCGAGACTCTTGCTATGAGCTGTCTAGGCTACGGAAGCTCCTTGAGTTCACCGACTCTGAACTTGTTTAGTCAAGGCCGTATCACAGTGGAGGTTCCTTCCTCCCTTCAGAGAAAGGTGGTTGTGCCACTTCTGATCCAGCTCTCTGCTAATGGCCTGGAAAAGCAGCAGAAGATGGCCCAAGTGTTTGGCCCCTGCACCCACATGGTAAACACAGGCAAATTCCTGAGCTCTTTTTTTTTTTTTTTTTTTGGACACGCAGAGTTAGACACAGAGAGAGACAGAGAGAAAGGTCTTCCTTTTTCCGTTGGTTCACCCCCCAAATGGCCACTACGGCTGGCGCACTGCACCGATCTGAAGCCAGGAGCCGGGTGCGTCCTCCTGGTCTCCCATGCGGGTGTAGGACCCAAGCACTTGGGCCATTCTCCACTGCCTTCCCAGGCCACAGCAGAGAGCTGGGGAAGAGGAGCAACTGGGATAGAACTGGTGCCCCAACCAGGACTAGAACCTCGGGGTGCTGGCGCTGCAGGTGGAGGATTAGCCAAGTGAGCCATGGCACCAGCCGAATTCCTGAGCTCTTGGCTTTGGATTGGCACAGCCCTGGCCATTGCAGCCATGTGGGGAGTAAACCATCAGATGGAAGATCAATCAATCTCTCTCTCTCTCTCTTATTCTCTCTAACTCTGCCTTTCGAATAAGTAAAAATGAATCTTAAAAAAAACAGAGCATCAAAGAGTTGGAAAGACTGATGTTTATCTAGGGTGGTCACTAAAGGGCTGTAATCACGCAGTGTTTGACTAGAGGCCTGATAGCAAGCCCTGTGGATAGCACAGGAAAGATTACTCCAGGTAGAAAGAAGAGCAGCCTCAAGGGACCTGGCACCATGTTTGTAATATTTAAAAATCTAACCAGAAATCCAGTGAGATTGGAATTGAGTGGACAGGAGGGGAATGGACAGAGGTAAAGGGAGGGGGCGTGGACAGACATAAGGTTGGATGGGGTAAAGGGAATAGATTAAATGCCAGATTACATGGGGCCAGATGGCAAACTATTAAAATATTATCTAATAGAACTTTCTGGACTGGTGTGTTCTATACCTGTATTTCCAACATAGTACCAACTCACTACTGTGGCTATGGAGCACTTGGAATGTGGCTCGTGAGAGTGGGGAACATAATTTTAAGTTTTGTTTCATTTCATTTAAATCATTTTTTTTTTGACAGGCAGAGTGGACAGTGAAAGAGAGACAGAGAGAAAGGTCTTCCTTTGCCGTTGGTTCACCCTCCAATGGCCGCCGGGGCCAGCGCGCTGCGGCCAGCGCACCACGCTGATCCGATGGCAGGAGCCAGGTACTTATCCTGGTCTCCCATGGGGTGCAGGACCCAAGCACTTCGGCCATCCTCCACTGCACTCCTGGGCCATAGCAGAGAGCTGGCCTGGAAGAGGGGCAACCGGGACAGAATCCGGCGCCCCGACTGGGACTAGAACCCCCGTGTGCTGGCGCCGCAAGGCGGAGGATTAGCCTAGTGAGCCGCAGAGCAGGCTTAAATCAATTTCAATAGTCAAATGTAGCTTCTGTATTGGACAGGTCAAAATGAGAGTGACTTCATTCACATATTAATAAGGTCATTCTGTACACAGAGATGTGAAAAGACTAGGGACCAAAGGACAGTGGCAGAGAGGACACCTAGAAGTCTACAGCAATAATCTGGCGACAAACAATGGTAATTTATACCAGTAATCTGGGAGGGGAAGAATGGCAGTTGGCTGTTAAAAGCTCCCCTGGGGTTTGCCAACAATTTGGATACAGAGTGTGAACAAAGAAGAGTCAGTGATGAGCCCAGGAATCTTGGCTTGTAGGTAGAATTGCCACTATTAGAGATGGGAAGATCAAGCCGGCGCCGTGGCTCAATAGGCTAATCCTCCACCTTGCGGCGCCGGCACACCGGGTTCTAGTCCCGGTTGGGGCGCCGGATTCTGTCCCGGTTGCCCCTCTTCCAGGCCAGCTCTCTGCTATGGCCAGGGAGTGCAGTGGAGGATGGCCCAGGTGCTTGGGCCCTGCACCCCATGGGAGACCAGGAAAAAGCACCTGGCTCCTGGCTCCTGCCAGGATCAGCGCGGTGCGCCGGCTGCAGCGGCGGCCATTGGAGGGTGAACCAGCGGCAAAGGAAGACCTTTCTCTCTCTGTCTCTCTCTCTCACTGTCCACTCTGCCTGTCAAAAAAAAAAAAAAAAAAAAAAAAAAAAAAAAAAAGAGATGGGAAGATCAAAGAAGGAGCAATTTTAAGTGTATCCTCAGGTACCTGGTTTTAGAAATGTAAATTTGAGATACCTATTGGATATCCATGTGCTGATTTGAGGAAGGTAATTCTGTTAGTGTGAAGTTCAGAGGGGAGGCTCTAAGAATAAAAACTGAAACGGAAAGAGGACAGTATATAAATAATGACAGAGTTAAAGCAAAAGGATAGCTTGTATGCATGTATACCATGAGATGCCAATAACTAGATGTATTTCTATAAATTTCATCCCAAGTTTCAGAAGACATTTTGGCATTGTCTGTTGTAATTTTGAAAAGTCAGCCTAGGTAGACATTAAGAGTTATGTCATGTGAGAAGCAGAGAGAAATGCACTGAACTGTTCTTCTGACACTTCATGAATGAGATGAGACCTGTTATTTGGTCTTTCAGAAACTATTTCCTCATTTGTAAAATGAGGGTTACTCTGCTTACCTCGAATGCAGCTGAAAGTAATCACTGAGATAATGGATATGAATAATTGCACATTGGTAAGTACATGACAGGAGAATAACACATGCTCATAAAATAAAAAAAGTTGTTTTCTAGTGCATTGTTATTAGTTGTAAATATGAACTTCAAAAAGCAAACCTCCTGTTCATAAATTTGTACTAGTAACAGTTGAACTTGTATGCATGGACCTTCTAATACCTTTTCATTGCCCGCAGAGTGTTGTGTAGTAATTAAAAGTCCAACCACTTGAGTATAAAACCTAGCTTTCCCTCTTGCTAGGTTTATGAACCTATAACTCAGTTTTATCTTCTATAAAACAGGCATGACAATGCAAGAGATCTTCAGAAATTTCAAGGAAAATCTGTCTTGGGACATGCTCAGGCTGACTTGCCCCAAGTGGGGGAGTTGGAAGCATACCAGGGGATTCCAATTCAATCCCATCGAGGTGGCATGTACCAATGCCATCTCACTGTTCCAGGTGATCAGTTTCAGTTCACAGTTGGTCATGGTGAAGGGACTGGGAGTCAAAGGGAACACATAGACAAGTCTAGTACCTGCTAACGCTAACCGATGGAGTAAATAAAGGGGAGAGTGATCCAACATGGGAAGTGAGATACTCAGCAGACTCATAGAATGGCAGATGTCCTAAATAGCACTCTGGCCTCAGAATCAGCCCTAAAGGCATTCGGAGCTGGCTGAAAAGCTCATGAGAGTATTTCAGGCATGGAAAGCCAAGACACTCTGGCAAAAGATCTCTGCGAGTGAGATCCCAGTGGAAAGAACAGGTCATCAAAGAAGGAGGTACCTTTCTCTGAAGGGAGGAGAGAACCTCCACTTTGACTATGACCTTGTCTAAACAAGATAAGAGTCGGAGAACTCAGAGGGCTTCCATAGCCTTGGAAACTCATGACTGGAGCATAGGGAGATTACTGATGCCATAAACAGGAGTGTCAATTGGTAAAGTCAACAACAGGAGTCACTGTGCACTTACTCCTCATGTAGGATCTCTATCCTTAATGTGCTGTACATTGAGATTTAATGCTATAACGAGTACTCAAACAATATATTTCACTATATGTTTCTATGGGGGTGCAAACTGTTGAAATCCTTACTTAATGCATACTAAACTGATCCTCTGTAATTGAAAAATATATG